TACATACATACATACATACATACTACATACATACATACATACATACATACATACATACATACATAATAACATACATACATACATACATACTTCATTCACATTCACATACATACATACATACATTACATACATACATATATATATATATATATATATATATATATATAATATATATATATATATATATATATATAATAACAATACCAATGCATCTTCCCTCCTTAGTAAAGCAACAAATAATCAAGTCTTACCATGAAGTTGGCTTCGTGCAGTGCATGTGCTCAGGGCTTGTGGGTTTGTTGACCGGGTGGACACAAACATCGCACACCTTGTCATGGTGGCTCCCTCCAGGGGTTGTACTGCGTTCTCCTGGCATGGTACGGCAACATGTCTCATCTGCATTTTCAAATAAAAAAAAGAAGGAAGAAATATTAATATGTTATTTAGAATTGTTTGTATTTTGAAAGGCAATGTGTGACATAATAATTGAAAGTGTTATCTAGAACATCTGTGTAAAAATGTAACCTATCACTCAAATTGGACTAATAAACACCAGAAAACTATGAGCTAATAATTTAGATTGTAGCCTACAAACTCTCCTTCAAATATGGAATGTTTGGCTAGTATTTTGAGGTACTACATGAACAACACTAAAGAATAGAATAAAGTAACCCTAATAGTACTGCAACTATCCAACCGCAGTTCTTGCAAAATTACATCTCATCTCTCCAAGTCTTTAAAACCCCATGCAATACCTTCTAGATTTAGTTGCTCTCGGGAAAGATGCAAGATGCGCAGCTGTTCTTGGAGGTAGTTTTTGCAGACCCGCTCAGCCTGTCGCAGTTGCCTTCGCCCTCTGGATCGCACTGAACCAAGGTAGCTGGCCAAATTGTTGACACGTGCTGATCTATTGCAATTATTGTAGTCTAGCGACACCTCTCGGAGCTGAAGTGTGTGCATGGAGGGGGGGGGGGAGATACCAATTCATGTTAATGATGATATTCTACAATAAAGGATTCCTCCCTTACTTTATCCTCCTCTTTGGATCACATGGAGGAGGATGCAACATCTATCAAAAAATATTTATATCTATATGATCTGAATAGTTTTCATTTGTTTGCATTACAGCATATCAAAATAACAAGCAAAGAAATAAACCACTCCCAAATCCCACAATATCTTTTTAAAAAATCAAAATATATAAAGGAATTCTACCCATCACTTACTTCTAATTTGCAACTTGAAAACATTATTAAATACCCCAACACACTTCAAAATATCTAAACTAATGAAATTCTTAACAAAATGATCTCCTTCCCTATGCACCAACTTACCAAATTAAAGGGGTCGTTGGCTGTGTGATAGGGGTTATCGGGGGTGAAGAGAATTAGCGCGGGCCCTTTCTGAAGTAACCGGTCCAGGGCCAGACTCTTGGTTCCAGGAAGGTCAACCCATGCTGCCGTCTCATCCAGTCTCTTCAGTACCCAGTTGCTGATGCCCTCACTGTCGGCATTTGCAGCGCCTGTGAATGACTGGAGAGACATGGAGAGGTTAGAGCTGTACTGGTGCTTATAGAGTCTGGATTCTTATTATAACTACAATGACATGCTTAAATCTCACATAATTATGAAATCCCTTGAAAAAAATGGATAATCTTATCATCTAGTGTTATTGGTTATTACACTGTTCATTGGAAACTTCATTCGTACTTCCAAATACACCTAACCCTTTGCTACTGTACCTAATTGGCTGCACACCTGTGCTCTATGACAGAAATACACTGTAGTGGAACTGGAGAAATAATGGAATAATAACTGGATCTCTGGCAGACAATCTGGCTAAATATTTTGTTTCTATCTTCCCTCAATTATTGTCCTAACAAGAAACATCCTTAGTAGATAAAGGTAGATAAGGGTAGGAGTGAGAATAAATAACTTTATCCTGCAAGAGATTTATCTAACACATTTTGATTCTATCATCAGAAATACATGTGTCTGCAAGTTTGCTTTACACAGCCTAACATCAGACACGAGTTGAAAATTCCCGACAATAGCCCCTGCAAACACTGCAGCCGGTACAATAAAAGCTAATGGTGAAATGGGACATGATTTCAACACCAGGATTAATGCCATCGTGATGCATATACATGAAGCTGGACATCCAGACTAGAAGTGAACAAAACTGATCCATAAAAGGAATCAATAAACAAAAAATAATATGAATAACACGTTGGGAATCTTTAAATTATCCCAGTTAAAGCAACAACTATTATGCATGTAATAAGCAAAAGATTCACAAATGTTAAGTGAATCTTCAACTCATGTCAGCTTCGTAGGTGTGTTTTAACGTAATTCCACTCAGAAAATCTAGTACTCATGTTGGTTTTGTTTTGCAAAATGTCTCAACACATAGATAGTTCTCCAAGTGCCCAGCCACCTAGGCATCAATTAGTAGACCTCGTGACCTCACCTAATTTTGCCTTTCCTTGAGTTTTCTTTTTTTCCCGAATGCTATCATCATCGATGCAGTTATTCTTATTATATACATTATAATTAGCAGAATGTTATCACCATTACTAAAAGATATATAAGACAAAAGGGATATTTCTAAAAAGCAACGAAAAAGGCAAACAGGTGATATCTAGTATTAGTAACTGACACCTTGGTGACTAAACACTTGTGGAGCCGTCTATGTGTAACAATTAATAAACTAAACTCACAGTGAGCACTTCATCTACATTAGTGTACATGTCATCTCTGGCAGCATTTGGTTAACATTTTGTTCACACATTTTGTTGACAATATAACAGTAATAAATGGAGAATATAAAAGAATAAAATAAATGCTGATTCAATTTAGAGCATAAAACACCAAAATGATGAATTTATCAAGAACATAAAATAACAAAATAACTTTAAGGCACATGTTAACAGTCCACTAAAGGTTTTGCTTGTTGCATCTCATTTATAAGAACTTTCAGTGTCAAGATCCAAGAAGGTATGATTGTCGGATCCTTCTTTTTTTCATCTGCTACAATTTCTTATTTTGCATACATACACTAATAATATACTAGATATACTGCTGGTTTGTTAGAATTGTGCTTGACATGCATAAATAAAGAAATAAGTGAATATTCATCAGTCTAAACAAGCATATAAACCAGGCAAATAGATAGTTTAATGTATATCTATCGTCTGTATTTAAGAAAATTCATTGAGTCGGGCCTGGCACAATTTTAACAAACTGGCCAATAAACACCAATAACAGAACAATAATAAAAAATAATAATAATAGACACAAACACATCCTGCACCAAACTCACAAGTGTAGTGTTCCACAGCACCAGATGTACCGACTTAGTGCCATTGAAGGAGAGCGCTCGGGCAATCTGGGGATTAGTGACCACGCCCCAGGCTATGGTGTTGGTGTTGTCATGTTGTAAGGCACGGAGCGAGGCCAAGTAGAAGGACATAAAGCCCTTAGGGAGATATGCAGAGGACGTGAAGTCATAGTAGCCTAGGACGGTTGCCTGCAGCAAAAAAAAATTGTTAGGTTCTCTGTGTAATCATTTAGTTAGAGGTCATAAACCTATTATCTGAAGTATTATTTATCCAATATCCTTTAGCATCTCTGTTCCTTTCCCTTTTCTTAAAATAATACATTTCTAGGCCCTATAACCATAAAATGAAGAAAGATGTGCAAGACAATTCAGGGATACTGAAAATCTAAGTTATAAGATTCTTACAAAATTTTAAGTCTGAATTATTCATCAATTATAATCTTTTTTAAACACCACAAAGTCATGAAAATTGTTTAAAAGTAAATAAATAAATAACAATTTCTTCCTACATTGCCATGGACAATAAAAGAAAAAAACAACTCCACTTACACTAAACTCCATCTGCAGCCTGGCCAGATCAGCATGGCTAGACACATGGGTCAAAGGTCGCAGGGCACGTGAAAGGAACCGCACAATGTGGCCAGCATGATGTGGACCCCCATAGGCCATGGCCTTGGTCTCTTGGCCTGAGGAGGAGCGTACATGCAGTACAATGGCTGGGAATGTGCGGATCTTGTAGCGTGCACGGCACTCTGAGTTTGGGTGCCAACAGTTGATTGCCGCGAAGTAAACCTAGGATGAATGGTCATATAGATGAGAGGGATAGTGATAAAGAGTAATGGCACTACTAGCAACACTGTACTTAAACAACACACAAACAATTACACATGTGTTTCATAATCACCATGAAAATATAACAGTTCTTCCTCCTTATCTCCCATTTTCTCTAACCTTAACCTTTACACCATACCATTCTCACCTTTTTAATCCCTTGAGTCTGGAGCCAAACTCAAGACAGGAATTATGACCCTTTTGGTCAGGCCTACACACATTCGCCAGGGAACTAGAGGAGCCACACCCAGAGCATTCTATTTTAATCACATTAATGGTCTACTGCCTATGATAGTATTGGAAATTTTTTCAAATAATTAAGCAGTTGTAATGCCATTAAAAACATTTTGAAGCCAGCCTGGGCATGCCAAGCTCTGTGGAGTAATTATATTGCAACCCAAAGGTGCTAATGGAAAGTGGCTAACAGCTTCCACTAGCAAGTTGTGCCTCTGGTTCTAGAGCTATCGCTGGCCATTTTGGTTCCACTACAAAAACACTCCCCTTGGCTTGTTTTCAATAGTGCTATACCTAATACAATATTAATAAACTTCTGAGATAATCATAGAATGCTCTAGAGCTGGTATGCATACTTCCTCATATAGTACACCTAGGCATGGCCAAAATGGTAATAAACCCCAAATTTGAGTCCAGTCACAGAGTCAGACAATGCCAGCTGAACCATGGCCCTCATCCTCTCCCTGTAAGCTCCTCTTCACCCAATCCATACCTCTTCACTCCCTTCTCACCTGTTCATGATGGTATCTGGCAACCTTCTCAATCTCCCACCGAACAGCCTGGGATTCCCTGTCCCATGGAGCATAGTACACCACCAAGGAGAGGTCTGTGGCCAGCAGGCGCTCAGTGAGAGCCACAATATCCCCCGTGTGGAAGTCCGAGACCAAGGAGTGTCTTGGAAAGAAGGGCTGGGCGGCTGGTGTTGTCTGGACTAATGGGCCTCTGCTTCGGTGCGGAGTTGGTGGGTTTAGGGAATAAAAGGAAGAGAAAAAGAAGGTTTGGTTAGATATTGTTAAGAATATATTTTTCTTTTTCTTTGTTTTATCATTTCTTCCCTTTTCTTTTCATCCTTTCTTTCTTATATTACTAACTGAAATCTACAAGGAAAATCAAGGCTTTTTTTTATAAATAGCATAAATGAAAAATATGCCCATCAATTTACTGATCTGCATATGGATTTTTATGGATTTGCATCAAATTAGCTTTCAGTTTTACCCCTAATTAGCTCACTGGTCATAAACATCATCTTGAGAGTGTGTGTATATATATATTATATATATATATATATATATATATTATATATATTATATATATATATATTATATATTATAATAATGTATATAATATAATTATATATATATATATATTATATTATATATATATATATATATATATATATATATATATATATATATATATATATATATATGTATATGTATATATATATATATTATATATATATATATATATATATATATATATATATATATATATATATATATATGTATTATGTATATATGTATATATGTATATATGTATATATGTATATATGTATATAATGTATATATGTATATATGTATATATGTATAATGTATATGTATATATATATTATATATAATATATATATATATATATATAATATATATATATATAATATATAATACACTTTTTTATAATGAACATGATTTTACTGTTATATGAAAATAAGGCTCACCATTGTTTTAATTTTGAAGTTTAACAAGATGAATTTTACTATGATAAAATGTCTATGCTCTCCTGTACATATACATCTATAAAATGAAATGCAGCAACAAGAAAAATGGTAAATCTCCAGGCATTGCAACAAAAAAATATATCTTTTTTTTCCACCTGTAGAGGAATCCAGGTGTGTTCTAAGCATCATGAATTTTTTTTTGTCTTTAATGTGGCTGTTTCATAATATATGTCTACATACTTCATTTACATCTTTTTATGAAGTCAACAAAATTATTCTATTAACGTTAATCCATTTTACATATTAGGCTACATGAACCTATAAAGACACACTTATAAAGCTACTACACAAACACAATCAACCCATAAGTAAGAAGAAGAAGAAGAAGAAGAAGAAAAGAAGAAGAAGAAGAAGAAAAAAGAAGAAGAAGAAGAAAAGAAGAAGAAGAAGAAGAAGAAGAAGAAGAAGAAGAAGAAGAAGAAGAAGAAGAAGAAGAAGAAGAAGAAGAAGAAAAGAAGAAGAAGAAGAAGAAGAAGAAAAGAAAGAAGAAGAAGAAGAAGAAGAAGAAAGAAGAAGAAGAAAAGAAGAAGAAAAAAAAAAGAAGATAGGCTAAGCATGATACAGTAATCTTAACAACAACAAATCACCATTATATTTTCCCCATCAATCCTAAACCAAGCCTTCACTAAAAAATCAAACACAGAAATCATAGGGAGGCAAATATTATAACATATTATAATCTGATTACATCCAAAAGCTATTTAAGTTGCCATTTATGAGGATCTTAAAAGGTCAAAAGGTTAAGAAATGCAGTAAATAAAATGCAAATCCTCCTACCATATTAACTGAGCAAGTCTTCAGCCAACTAACTGACGTTAATTAACTTGTATCATTACAGAAAGATAGAAAATAAAACAGAAAATTTTAAAACATTGTATACTTTAAGAAGCAAACATTAAATTGCTTATGGAATGGTCATCCTTTTAATCTTTTAGTTGTTTAAAGAATAACTTAGACTTTAATCTGCAAGTCACACCCTTGACCAGTCCAAAGTCTTTAGTCATTGATGCAAGATACCTAGTGGCTTCTTATTCTCTAAAGAATATTTTTTCTCTGGAGACTAAAGACTGGCTCACTCAAGAACAATAAGTATGGTCTTACACATACAATAAAGCTTTTACTAAAACTAAATACACAGAAAAATATATCATGGAACCACAAACAAATGAAAAATACTACACTAAAATCCGACACTTAAAGTCACGGCAATGTAGTAACACAAAATAAGAAAAGAAAAGAATAAAAATGTAATCAATACCAGGTACATCTCATATTAGAAAAAACAACATATAAAATAAAAGATTAATATTCTAGAATGAGTACATATATCATACACTACAGAATGAAAAACTCAAGAGCAATTCTATTTTATCTTTTGACTACAGTACTGAGAGAAAGGAGGCATCGCATATGGCACTTTGCTTACCCTTCAGAGGATATTGCCCACGAGCTGGGGTGGGGGGAAAATGGTAAATAATTGCATTAAGGGATATTAATGTTACTAACAAGTAAATAGATATAGAAATATATCACTATAATCTCCAAACTAAGTTTATATTTTATCCTAAATTACATAAGACCCGATTTGAGTCGCAAGGTCAATAATGATCGTAGTAGGGTACAGTGGAAGCTGCAGTTTTCCCTCAGTAATCATAAGTGAAGTTACACATATCAAATAAAGGCCTAAGGCATGGTTGAGTTTTGCTCAGTGCACAGTGATGTGACGAATATTCTACATCCCTCAACCTCCTCCCCTTCCCCCACTCTGAAGAAGCACAACCTGACACAGCGAAAGATGAGTGATGGAAAGTCTAGCTAATGCTTTAGGTGATTTATGTAAAGTGTACATACATATGACTAATACAGAAAGAGAACAAAACCATAAATTTCTGTAGCCTGTGTTTCCTCAATGTCCTAGACCCACAAGTTGCCTGCATCTAACATGCTATATGACTATATAAAATAATACTTGTAATAACATAAATAATTTTCTATTTCTTTTTCAAAATTATGACTTTTCTTTTTTGTAAGCTGGGGGCAGCAAAAGCCCAAGAGAGAAATTTTAGTACTGTTTTCTTAGCCGCCACACATCATTCGCATGTTTTGAAAATTCACATGCCAGATGTTACTGGTGAACATTTATCTCCATGAAGTATATAGCCATTAGAGACTTCTTTGGGGATTTATTGTTAAATGAGGAATCTGTATAAGCTCTACCTTTCCTGCATAAATGTGTTAAGGTTTTTGTCTTTTGCCTGAACAGAAAATATACAGGCCACTGTGACTGCTTCATAATGTTGCTTTTTACTAAGCTATTTAAAATATCAAATAACTTGTTTATTTGCAATTCATAATGTACCTTTCAAGGATGAAAATTACTATACTCGTCAATCTATCAACCCATTATATATCTTGTTGGTGATAGGTGGCTACTACTGAAAAGTTACCAAAACTTTTCTTTATAGATTTTACAGGATTTTTGGCATCTTGACAACTGACCTTTCACATGTCTTCCAAATATAGTACACTGCCAACCTGATATGGTATTATTTGGCTGAATACTGAAAGGCCAACCAGATTTAAATGGATGAACAATTGACTTGGCAGTTGAGGCCAACCTCAGCACAGCAGGCTAAACTATAGGCCAAGTCAGTGATGGGTTGGCCTTACTCAAAAACAAAATTATGGTAATTTTCCTAAACACATCTGCATTCTTCAAACCATCCATTTTGGTATCATATGAACTCCTATCAATGTACACCCACCATGAAAGAAAAAAAAGAAAAAAAATCAAAGCAAAAATAAACAAATCTGATCCTCTGAGAAATGTCTACCTCGGCCTCTGTTGCTTGTGATATCATTCAGAAGGTAAATCATTCAGAGCTCTCTAGGCTCTATTTTGTAAGATAACATAAGATTTCGCATTCCTGGTGAGGGGGTTTCTCTAACACAGCAAAGAAAGCATAAATAATACTCTAAGCTCACAATTTCCTGGTAAAACCTCATTTCCCCACCTATCTGATCTTGAGTTAAGCTTTACAGTATGGACGCACTAAGCAAGGGCAATTTGAAGATATTCCTGTTGAAGACAAAAAAGTTGCAGCCACTGCTACAAGAAATAATCTGCAGACATGAA